AGCTGAAAAGTCCTTGACTAGTGTAAGCATTACCTAGCAACAACTAAAACATCGGTGAGTTATCAACTTTGTTCTCATCCTAAATCCAAACCACAGCACTGTACCAGCTACTAGGAAGGAAATTAACTCTATCCCTGCCGAAACCAGGACAATATGCTATTTCAGAAGGCAACTGCAGTGTTTCGTATTCTTCTTGGTAATATTTTGGATGTTATATTCTATTTAAAACATAAGCTGATCCTGGACTGGTGCAGTTCTGCACTTGGGTTTTTCTGGTGGCAATTATCAGTTTATCCATTGCTTTCATTTACACGCCAAGTTCCCATCATAAGATTGAGTAATGGCTTTGTTTTATTCATCAGACATATCAATTATTTATTTATTACTGCTTTTTTTCATGTGCAAGTGGATTGAATCACAAAGGTATTTTCATGGCTTGTTTTCAAGATCATGTTATGACTTTCTGAATGTTAGTTGACACCTTCCACTTCATATGTCCCTGTTAAATATTTGGGGTTGTGTTTCTGCTAAATATTTGTAGTGCTGTGAGCAAACCAATCTTCTACAGCTAAAACATAGTTTTGGATGGGACACACTGGGCAAACTATCAGGTCCAGAAAAACCTGCAGTTCCATTGTCCAAAAAGTAAAGCTGTATGTTGACCTGCTATTGTGTCTTTCAGCAGCAGATTTGACGTTAACTCTCTAGAGAGTCAGCTCAGGTCCCCAGCAAGCAGCATAGTTGGTTCAAGTTTAATTCCCGCCTCCCATATATATATATACACACACACACACACATATATATAAAAAGTTACTAATGAGTAATAATGAGTTACTTTATATATACATATATATATATATGCTTGTTTTGCTTGGGGTACTTGGTTTATACCACTTTAATGTTATTCAGATTATCATATAGTAACAATCCTGAGTCACTGTAAACTCTCCTTGAATTGAAAGTGGGAATATAAAAGATTTTGACTTTTGAAGGTGGGATAAAGAAAGTGATCCTTCAGCTTCAAAGTAAAAATTGAGGGTCATCCTCTGAACTATTCATGTCACACGTGCTGATGTTAAAGTACTTCCGGCTACTCTGGAATAAGATGTTACTGCTTCATTTTCAACTACAGGAGACTTGGAGATTGTGAACAGTGCAACTAAGAAAAACACTCGAGATGTTGGTGTGACTTTTCCTACCCCGAGATCTAGCCAGCCAAATCAATGGCTGCAGGAACCCTGGCATTGTGTTGATGGTAATTTTGGGGAGTCAGATGGTATGGTCACAGATCATCAGGCAGCAGGAAGCAAGGGTAAGCAGAAGGGACAGCCAGGCAATTTTTTTGTGGAGAAAAGGACGAAAAGGAGCAGGCTGCATTTACCACAAGGTCAGTCCAAAATACGCTTTCTCTTGCAGACTAGAAAAAGCTGTATATCTCAACAGCAACCAGCAAAATATGTGAGGAGGATAAGCTATGACACGGAGTAGTCTCTGTCACTAGCACAGTCTGTTCTTATTCTGGTTTTATTCAATGAATTGTAAACAAAACCACTATGTCAAGTGAGCTCTCTAATGCTCTATTATGATGGCATTTTCAATCGAGCTGTTAAATGCAACCTAGCCAGTAAAGGTAGTAAATGGGAAGCAGTGAATAAGGCAAGGAAAGATGAATGAGATGGGAATCACGTAGATACTTAATTTTGATTTTCAAGGTATAAAAGGTTCTGTTAAGCTCTGAATAACTGGTCACTGTAAGTTGTACTTACTGTTTAATGTACTGAGGCTTCAAAGAACAAGTATTTTTTCAGGAGTACTCGAGGGAAGATTGTGGCACCAGAAGAACTAGACTCGTCTCCCTCTTTTAGCTAGAGTTGCATTTTTGGGCTGATGGTGTAGCCTGCTGAGTGGTGTGGTTTTTTTGGTTTTTTTTTTTTTTAAATTTCCTGTCAGTCTTCACAATGTCATGATTAAATGTTTAAAAATGTTTTCCTTAGTCATCATTGTTGTTGTTGTAGGGACAAATCATTCTCTCTCATACCGGTTTAATTTAGAATATCTGCTCAGAGTACTAGCTGATGTATTCAAATCCCATTATGTATGTAAACTGTGAGTAATCTAATTCTTGTATACATACTTAACATTTGGAAGATGTAAAGCATTTGATTTTCAAAAATATCTATAAAAAGCCATAGGGCTTAGGACAGCACTGAGGCTCCTTAAAAATGAAAAATTGCTGATAAATAACTATTCTTTATATAAAGAGAGAAACTTGCAAACTAAGTCATTTTGTGCTTTTTCAAAAGTGTTGTTTGATAAAGACTTGCTGGTTTTCTGACACTTGGCAAACGAATTCTTTTGAAACTGCCAAAGGTGTCTGATACAGAGTCCCACTGTTATTAAACTGAAGTGAGTATTTATTGCAGTGTTAGGCCACTGATCGGATTTAGCTAAGACCTTGGGCATTGTCGTGATTTAACCCCAGCTGGCAACTAAGCACCACACAGCCGCTTGCTCACTCCCCGCCAGTGGGATGGGAGAGAGAATCAGAAGGGGAAAAGTGAGAAAACTCATGGGTTGAGATAAAGACAGTTTAATAGGTAAAGCAAAAGCTGCGCACACAAGCAAAGCAAAACAAGGAATTAATTCACTCCTTCCCATCGGCAGGCAGGTGTTCAGCCATCCCCAGGAAAGCAGGGCTCCATCATGCGTAACAGTGACTTGGGAAGACAAACGCCATCACTCCAAATGTCCCCCCTTCCTCCTTCTTCCCCCTAGTTTTATTGCTGAGCATGACGACATATGGTATGGAATATCCCTTTGGTCCCAGCTGTGTCCCCTCCCAACTTCTTGTGCACCCCCAGCCTACTCGCTGGTGGGGTGGTGTGAGAAGCAGAAAAGGCCTTGACTCTGTGTCAGCACTGCTCAGCAGTAACGAAAACATCCCTGTGTTATTGACACTGTTTCCAGCACAAATCCAAAACATAGCCCCATACAAGCTACTGTGAAGAAAATTAACTGTATCCCAGCCAAAACCACCACAGGCATAAAGGACCAGATGGAGATGGAAAATAGACACATGTATTGTCTACAAATCTTTATTCTCTTCTGCTGTCTTTTAACAGGGATTTCATGGTTCGTCCAAGCAGAAGACTTGAAATCTGAATCTAGGAAAGAAAACCATTCCAATTCCTTTTCTGGTCCTGGTCCGTCTTGGTTTGAACCATTGACCAGCACAAAGCCTTGGAGAGAGCCTCTCCGAGAGAAGAACTGGCAAGAGCAGCAGCACAGCAATGTGATTCAGCCAGCAGTTCCAGAAAGAGATGCTGAGAACAGGTCCTCGCGGCCGCTCGTGAAGCTTACGCTACAGGTAAAGGCACGCTGCACTGTAAGGCTGCTGAGATCTTGGTAGGATTTCAGGAGTTATGCTGAGTCTTGTGGAAACACTTTTTGTTCCTTTTTTTTATTATTTCACCTTTATAATCATTGGAAGTCAACATGTTACAGACTGCTCCTGCTTAAAAAAAAAACCAAACAAAAAACCCCAAACAACCAAGAAAACCTACAAATTCATCAGTCCTTTTTGCTTATGGTAATCTGGCTTTCCACAATACACTAATCTATTTGAATTGATCTAATACTTTAGGGCTTAAATCATTTGGCTTCAGGAACTAGAGAGAATGTAGCTGACATAATGTCGTCATACTTGCTTCCATGCAGAAATAATACTGTGTGATGTACATAGTATGTGATTAAAATGGGCTTTAATTCATACAGTGCAAACAGTGTGTGTGTGTACATACGTGCATATACGGTGTACACTTCAGATCGGGTGTGATCACTCTAAACATCTGTGGAAAAATAGAGATGTAGGGTACAGAGAGATCGTCCACAGCAAGTGAAATGTAAATTAGGAAGAGCTAACTAAGGTGCACTTCTGAAGTTTCTTTAAGTTCAGTTGCATCTGCTCATGTGCTCAGAGACTGCCCTGTGATGGAAATTGAAGTGTGGCAAATGGAGATATCGGGAAATTGCTTTCAAAATTCCACTTGTGATCCAATATAAATTGCTAATGTTGATGTGCCCACTGATTTATAACAAGGGAGATTGTAATAAGTTTCAGAATCTTCTATCCTGTGGGCTCAACTTTGTTAACTTTTTGCCATGCTTTTCTGAGAAGAGGTTTGTGTCCCTTTTGCTAATTATTTTAGCAATTTTTTTTTCTTTCTGGCCAGTTAATTTTCTGGTTTTTGACAAATAGTTTGTTAAACAAGGTCTCTGAGGATCTACCCAGCATTAAGGATACAAGATTTTGTATGTTATACCAAATACTGCTTTGATGGGAGTTTTTCCATGCTTTGGTAATGGTGTTAGATATTTTGATTATTCCCTTCCAGCTGTAGGGAGACAGTCTGGCCACTCTAGACTTTGTTTTGTGTCATCTCATCTTAGGAGGCTCTTGCAGTGCACCGCCCTGATTTCATCTCCCGCTCTGGAGAGCGTGTGAAGCATCTGAAGCTTGTAATGGAGGAGAGGAGGATACAGAGCGTACTGCAGTCTGAACGAGAAGAGCTATTTAATCCTCCGGAGAAAAGAAGGGGCTACAGGAATGCAAGTCACGTGCAGTCCGACAGAGGTACCTTCGTGGTTCTGCTTTGTACGTTCTGTAGGAATTAATGAATTCCCACATTACACTTAAGGGTGTGTGTATTTTTAATAAAAGTATTACAATTACTTAACATTATTGTCTATAAGAGTCCATAACTTAAAAAGGAGTCATATTGTTGCAGTACTATTCTTTGTGAGTAGATTTGTTCACCATTCTCTTATCTCAAAATTTTCCATTTAGGTTTCCTGATTAGAGAAAAGAGAACAATTCCAAAGAGTGAAATGGTTCAAAGATCTAAACGGTAAGGTTAAGAAAATTTTGTTTCAGGTAGATAAGTGACCTGGGTAGGAAAGATGGATGAATTGTATCTGCTGTCAAAGAACTGGGTGTTGGGGATAACTCAGCTTTTTCAGTGTGAGATGTAGGCACCGTATCAGAGGGAGAAAACACCTATTTAGAAAATCCGAGAAACAAAATAATTTTGGAAAAATGATTTCTGTAACTAAACCTGAGTATTCTGCTGCAGTATCTGCCATCCAAGCACTACAGCAAGCTATCCCAAAAGGAGAGGAAACGTAGGGTGTGGGCCACTAGAGCATCTGTATGGTTTTAAACATTAACGAACTAGGTAATTGGTACAGGAAGTGAGGCATCATTTCACCGAATGAAAGTAGCTTTATGTAAGAAATAAAACCAAAGGAATACAGAGGCTTTTAGCCTTGAAGAAAGCCACCTTATGGTAGATTTTGCCTTATTTTTGACTCAAGTAATTCATACATGAAATGCACAGCACACTAACAATGTATTAAACATTTGGAATACCTATGCTACAGAGAAAGCATGTCAAGGTATAATAAAAAATGGAGTTTATTGCAGCTAGATTCTGAAACGGTAGTGGGGTCAAGAGGAGGTGGTTTGGAAGAGTACCAGTTGAGAAACAGCATAAATACCTAAAAGTAAATTAGGGATTCATAAAGTCATCTCTGATAACTTGTAAAGTTACATAAAAACACAATGATACTGTAAGTTATTTAGAGTCAAAACAAAACAAAGGTCCAAGACCGTACCTTGAGGCAAGGGATATTTTAAGTAGTTGGGATTTCAGCATATATGCAAGTGCTTCGTTGCATTGAAGTCTTGGAATGTACATGCCACATGAAGGGAAGGGTTTGTGCTATGTGAAAGGAACAATGCTGTGGGCCAGGACTGTTTCGCAGCATCTTCGTCGGTAGTAGCAATGGGATGGAGCGCACCTCAACAGGTTTGCAGGTGACGCTGAACTGGGAGGACCAGTCAGCGTGCTGGAGAGTAGGTCTGCAGTCTCTAGGGATCTCTGCAGGCTGGAGGAAAGCGCCAAGAGGAACCTCGTGAAGTTCAACAATGACAAATACCAAGTCTCTCCTTGGGACAGAAACCCCTCCCAGGGACACCCCCTTTGGCAGTGTCTGAGGACAGACTACCTGTGGAGTGGCCCTTCTGAAAAGGGCCTTGGGGGCCTGACAGCTGGTGAACAGCAGATGGAACATGAGCCGGCAGTATGCTCTTGCAGTGATGAAGGCCAGCTACACACTGCATTTCATGCAGGTGGAGGGAAGTGGATATTCCCTCTGCTTGGCACTCATGGGTCCACAGCTGGATCCTGTCCCCTGTTCTGGGCTGCCAGTACAAAAGAGAGGTCAACAAAGTGGCCTGAGTCTGGTGGAGGCCACCAAGACAGTCAGGGGGCTGGAGGACGTGGTGCACGAGGAGAAGCTGCGGAGGCTGGCTTTGTTTGGCCTGGGGAGGAGGAGGCTGAAGGTGAGGATCTGGCAGTGGTGCTTCCCTGCTAGAAGAGGGACTTAGAGAAGGCGGAGGAAGACTCTTCTTGGAGGTGCACGGTGACAGGACAAGCAGCAGTGGTGATGTGTTACAGTAAGGAGAAATTCTAGCTGGAGACAAGGAAATGGGTTTTTCACGAGGGTGGTGAAGTGCTGGACCAGGGCCCACAGAGGTGGTAGAATCTGCATCCTTGGAAATAGTCACAAGTTGATAGGATGAGGCCTGAGCAACCTCATCTAGCCTTGAAGTTAGCCCTGCTTCGAGCAGGAGGTTGGACTAGGTGACCTCCAGAGGTCCCTTCCAACCTAAGTTACACTGTGATTCTACAAAATACCTACTGGAATACTCATTATATAAAATAAACCCCTTGATATATATGATGGGAGAGTCCAAAAAGAATGTTTTGTTTCAATAGCCTTTGGCATTTAAAAGTATTTTTACGGCGTTAATAGAGAGGTGGCAGAAGTGGTAAATACGGCAGTTCCCCAAGGAATGCATCTCCACGTGTTTTAGCTGAAGTCGAAAGATTCAGGTTCCGGTCACTTGGACTGTGAGATCGATGTATCTGAACTCATATATTTTCAGAAACTCTGATTTCATAATAATCGAAGCCAGCAGGACTTCTATGGAGACTGATTCAGGCAGTCACACTTGGTGACTTTCTTTGTGTTCTTGCTGCTGTCATACTCCAGCTCTCAGTTGGAGCTGAGAAGTAATTTATTCTGTACCATTCTTTTGAAATCCACACCTATAATGAGTGCAAAAGCTTTTTCTTTTTCTCTGTGAGGGTATAAATGGAATTTCTCATGGCAAATTAGCTAGAGGTAATGAAAACAATTTGGAATTAATTTACCTACAATTCTGCATTGCCCACTTCTTGCTCTAAACATCATTATGGTGGGATGATTTGTGAGGGGTAAATCTTGATCTTTCTTTGAGGGGAGCCCTAGAATGGCGAAAGCCTTTAGAGAATGGTGAGATGGTAGTAAAGCAAAACCTCAAATCTTGGAGGTATCCCTACCCCCATCCAGTAACACATGCATAGACCTAGCACTCTCTGCTGCCTTCCAGCAAAGCATAAGAGGAGTAAAGGAAGCATCTAAATGTGATTTATTTCCTCCTTTCTGTAGTGGTAACGTGGGTAGTGACATTTTTAGAAAAGATGACCTCCTAAGAGCAGCTGCAGACAGAGTAGGAAAATAGGGATACACAGGAAGGTAGGTCACTGGAAGGAGTGCAGTTGCTCCCCCCCCCCCTTTTTTTTTTTTTGGCGTTGCATGTGTATTTGCTTGCTCATCAGTTCCACTGTGAAGTCTGATGGACTGGTAAACACATTTGTGTGGGGGACTGTAGAAGCTACGGACGTGTATGGCTTTCCCTAGCTGATGCTGGTGAATTAGACAGGAGATAAAATTGAGATTTGGATTTGATCTTTGCTTTCTTGATTCTGCCTACTTAGTTATGCGTTATCGTACAGCTTCCTATTACTTTGTTTTCCAGCTAACTTCTCGTCCTTCTCTCTTTTGAAACATGCAAGTGACACCTCACTTGTACTGACTAAATAGCAAATGGGTGCAAATTGATACACGTTTGCCTCCCTCGCTTCTCTTGCCAGTCTGAAGTATTACTTATTTTCCTGCTGGAATTAGTACCAAGACAAGTGTCAAAGATGCCCCTCCTGGCTGGTGGGCTGTATTGATCTGACGTGTTCAAAATGGAGTGTGTTGAAGTACTTTCAGATAATATGAGTTGAAGGCATAGACGTGTTTAAAAATATTTGAAGTGCCAGCAGTAATTATGCAAAGATACTATACTGATGTAAGAATGAAACAGTCTCTAAAAGAGTATAATGCACTAGCGTATCTGTAACAAGTCTCTTTTTTTCTATTTGCTGATTATCAAATCAGCATGTTAAGGAGGGTGTTATAGTAGGATCTGTCTTGCTTTAAATATTACAGGACTGAAATATTTGAACATAATTCATTTCCACCTCCCCTAAACAGCAATGTTTTTGAAGCTGCATGTTTCTTGGCAACCACTGTCGTGAAATTAGTAAACCTTTATGATCTTAAAGGAAGATTTGGGGAAGGCAGTGTGAGCAAGACACCGCCATCCTAGCTCTCGGGTCCCTCCTTTAGATGGTAGCATGTAAAACAGACTAGAACAGTGCACTGGCTGTGCTGAGCACCAGTCACCTTCTATTCAGTTCAAAGCATCCCTTGCTGTTTGGCTCTGGTATGGGAGAACTTCAGCACTGGAGAAGACAGAAGCATTCAGCATTCACCTAAACAGGGCAACATGGTTGATTGTTGAAAATACTGAAATTTTGTAAAGATGCCTAAATAGCTTAAATCAGGTTATTCTTGTGATAAAGATACTGCAATTGATGGATAAACATGTTACTCAGAATCAGCATAAACCAGTACAGAAAGGCAATGGGGCTATTCGGTACTGAAGATACTGAAACTCTACCTTTTGCAGCTGGGTAATCATATCAGCTGGTCATTTTAATGTTATAAATATTGCTTTTAGGAGGGTGCTGCTTGTAAGAGAAAGGCATTATGGGATGTGGGAATTTCTGGTTTCACAACTGCTATGTATTCCACATTTTCTCTGTGTGACACTAGTAAACCCCCAAATAAGTTTTTCTATGATGTGGTTGGCCAGTAGGCTTTAACAGAATGTGAAGATAAAACAGAGGATGGGGTGGGGTTTTTTTAATATCAATAAGTTCCTTCCTTCCAAGTCACTATTTTTGACTTTTTGTATTTACACCTCAGGATCTATGAGCAGCTGCCAGAGGTGCAGAAGAAGCGAGAGGAAGAGAAGAGAAAAATGGAATATAACTCATACCGCCTGAAAGCACAGCTTTACAAAACGGTAGGTGTTCTGGTCAAGTATTTCTACTGGAACATTTTAGATTTTTTTTTTTTTCCTTGAGGTCACAAGCATTATAGTAATATTTACTAAATGTTAATTCTGTGGTGGTATTTTGCAGCTTCTAGATGGTGAGGATATATTAGCATTTAATCAGGGTCAAAGCAGTCAAGCTTAGCAAAATGTGGAACAAAAAATCCCCCTACCTAGCCTGAAATCCTTCCAGTACCTACACATGGTGTATGGAAAATAGACAAAGCTCTTTGGCCTGAAGGCTGCCGGCTTTGCTCTCGTGTACCCTTGCTGTAGATGGATTTAGCTTACACAATTCACAGCTAACTTCACAACCATGGTTAACAAAGCCTGGAGTCATCATTCTTAATTTTGCTCCAGTGGAGAATTGGCAGTCCTGGTGGTAATTTGTTAACTTTGGGGGCTGTGGATTTCACCATTAAGTGTTTGTTCAGCTGATAGTGTGGTCTTACCGCACTGGCACTGATCAGCCAAGGATCTCCTCTGTCTGGCAAGCTGTGGAATAAACCAGTACCCCTAAGCATGGGTGTGACTGACTTGGAACCACAAACACTAATCCAGCAGTTCAAGAACAGTTTCTGTGCTGGGGCCTCACTACGCAACCAGCAGCAGAGCAAAGGTGGGGTGAGGACTCCAGGATTTTGGTGAGCAGGAGGAGGAAACAGCAGGGCCCATTTTGCTGGGTTACTCTAGGACTCTGCTGAATCCTGCCTCATTCTGCCATGGAGCAGTGAGATCCCTGCAGGGAGCTGCTTCTGTCCCAGCTAACAACTGCTGCTAATGCTCTTCCTCCCTGGCTGTCCAAGTTGTGCAACATGCGCTTTGTGTCTGTCTTTTAAACACAGGTTTAATTAAGGACAGAAAGATTGAAGAACGCTGTGCTAGAGACTCACCTGGGTTAAGCACGATAAGTAACAAGGAAGAGAGTCTTCTGTCCCTATGCCCTCCCATGTGCACACATCTAATTATCTAGTGTTTCTGTGTAACAAGCGGTATCAGTTTATACACAATGATGTGATAAATGTCCTGATAAAACAGAGGAGGCCCATTTGTCCCCTCTGAGAAGTGCATCTCCAAAACTGACCAGTGTATCACTTTTTGAGCTGTTCTAGGCATCCATATGCTTAAGCTTTCTGTTAAGACTTAATAAGAACTAAAAGATGAGAAACAACAGTTTGCAATACAAACACTGAGGTTCTAACCTGACTTACCTTCTTGCTTTTTAACTAACCCATATACCATAAAACATAGCCTTCTGGAGAACTCTGGCAGCAGGCAATAAACTGCATGATAAGCCTCAGTGGTTTAAGGATATGCATTAAAAATTAAAACTAAACTTAAATTTAACTTAAATTTTTTTTCCTCTGGATCTTAAGCTTGCACTTCAGTTTTAGCATTGCAACTCTTTCCTGGCTGAGTTGTCCTACCAGAGCTGGAATAATAGGGTTAGTTATTTGTTGGGAACAGCAGTAACTGCATTTTAAAAGTTAGGGTTTGTAACACAATGTATTATCCAGAATACCTTCCTAATCTGATTGTGGGCATTTACCACTAGAATTACTTGAACTTGGCATATTTTTTTCACTAGTCTGAGAATCTCAGATGCCGGTACAGTAAGGTCTTAAGAATTAATGAATGCTGGCAGTCGTTGACTTGAAGTAGCGTAGTCAGCTGGAAGCAGAGAGGGACAGGGTTTGTAACACAATGTATTATCCAGAATACCTTCCTAATCTGATTGTGGGCATTTACCACTAGAATTACTTGAACTTGGCATATTTTTTTCACTAGTCTGAGAATCTCAGATGCCGGTACAGTAAGGTCTTAAGAATTAATGAATGCTGGCAGTCGTTGACTTGAAGTAGCGTAGTCAGCTGGAAGCAGAGAGGGAATCAGATCAGAAGTTTTGTGTGTAAGTGTGGTTTTGATTGGAAGAGGGATGATGTTTCATTGCAATAAATATTGTAATCTTTTTGTCTTCCTTGATGATGCAGAATAGCTGTAGTGAGTAGCTGTAAATACAGTGAATGGTTTGTTTAGAATTTGGTTAATGTGTTGCTGAGAGCATCAGTTTCTAAGTGGATCTGATTGTGCATGAAAAAAAGAACCACAGATTCTGTGGAATGACTCCAAAGATGACACAGTATTAGAAGAAGAAAACGGCTGGTACAAAAGCTAGACTAAAACCATATGTAATCTAGGGTTGTATCATTTAAATGATCTGTAGCACTGTACCCAAACTGCGGTCTGAGTATCTCTCATAGTGACAAGTTTGTGAACTGCTGATGTAGAACAGCAGATGAGTACTCTGGAATAGATCTGACTCTTATTTTAATTGCAGTCACCTAGAGGAGTCCTGTTGTGCCTTATACAAACCTAGTAGGGGACAGTTCCTTCCAAGATCGTTTGGCACATATCCAGACAAAGCTTGGGAAAGGAGAGGGAGGCACAGTGTCAAGTGCCCTGCTCAGGTTTGTGTGTGGGTCAGTGGTGGAGCTGGGCATAGTACTCCTATCTCTGACTCCCAGGTCAGTGCTTAGTGGCATGACCTGTTGCTAATGAAACTTCTTTGTCATTCTCTCTTTGGATTTTGACAGGCTAGCACTGGTCATCTTGATGGGGGGAAGGATGTACTCGTGCCCCAGTTACTCCAGTTCAGAGTGCAGCTCAGTAGGTTAGGCTGCTGGTGAAAGTGTCTGTGCCGAGGTGTCCTGTTCTGGAGTGTCTGAGGCTTACACTCGTATTTTCTTGGCTGAATTTCTGCTTCTATTCCTGTCACTGATACCAAAGGAGTAGACATGTAAAAGTAAAACTAGGTGTACACCTCACTAATAGCCGTACAGCTGGCTCTGAGGATGGAATTAGCTAGCAGTCCAGTGTGCATGCCATTTCTATAGGGCGTTGAGGGCTCACAGGTTAGGGATGATTTATATTTAGGAAAGGAAGCAATGAATTAAACGTGCGCACACTCATACCTGTCCATACATCAACATCGACAAGTGCTGTTTGCTGAAGTATCACTTACAAGTGAAATCCTCACACCAGAATTTAGAGGTATGTTATATTGATATAATTATAGCAATATAATTTATGGGTCAATACTTCAGAAAAAAATGAACACCAGCTTCTTAGAAATCTATCCCAAGAAGAAACCAACTAAACAAAATTGTGTGTTTCCAGTATGAGCAACAACCACTACTAGGTGGGACATACTGCTCTCTGGAGGCAGACTCTTCGTTAGCTGTAGGGAACCAAGTATCTTAAATTAGTGTTCAGGTTGAGGGATGAGATGAAACTGAGTTTATTTGGCTCAAAATGGGGCCCCAAATTAGTGAATATATGTGAACAAAATTCTCTTACCTTTTGTAAAGTACAAGTGAAAACACTCATACAGGACACCTGAGAAGTAAGGGCTGTCAGTGCTTGTTTTAAGGCATTTCTGTGCTACAGTGGCAACGTGGGGCAGTGCGGTGGGAAGTGAAGAGAGAATGAAGTAACAGTTTTGTTAGCACTGAGTGAGGATGGGATCCTTGGGAGGAAACAGTATGGGCTCATATGTAACTGGAAACTTATCAAAATTCCTGTGCTAGAAGGCAACTGAGGGTTGCACAGGCATTCTTAATTTTTCGAATTGTTAAATGCTTAACTTTATTAAGATAGCAAAGTTATTTTTATCACAGGATGCACATGGGTCCGGGCTGATGTTCTGTCCCAGTATCCCTTTGCTTTTTGTACTTTTAATTTCAAATAGAGCATAAAATTATACTAGTCAGATAAGGGAATGGTGCATGCCCTTTAATTTTGAAAACTGTATAGTCGAGACAGATTTCTGATCTGATGGTAGCATCAATCAGAACTCTTTCAACCCCAGTGAAGTGAAAATGAATTTTATGAGTTTATCAGATACAATTCATTCTGTTACTGAGACTTTTCTATTACATGTAGTGAATTTGCCATTTTTGAAAATAGGGAGCATGGGAGAAACCTCCATAAAGGGGATAGCGAAGTTATTAATTTATGTACTTCCCTCTACCCCTTAAAAAAGAAAGAAGATATTAGCATTCAGGAACACTAAACACTTTATTTTATTTATGGATGGGACATGTCCTTTAGAGCCTATGCAAGATAGGGGCCACAAGGTGTCACTACCCCAAAGGAAAAAGCACATGCTTCTAGAGGTGTAAAACTGAATTGCACTTTGCTTGCTGCTTTACAGTTGGGTTTTTGGTTTGTTTTTTTTTAGTGTTTGTTTTTCATCCCTTGGCTACATTTTCCCTCCTGTCAGCAACATGTTAGGGTTTTTTGTTTTGTAGTCACTTCCTGGAAATGGAGCAAAGGCAGGAGATAGCATCTAATTGCTAGCTGGGTTTGCTTATTAGATTGCAAAAGGGCCTGTGAGCTGTAAGGACTGTTCAGAGGTTGTGTGGTGCGATGCGTTTTGAGCCCTTCTGAGGCTTCATGAAGTATCGGGGACAGATTTCACACTGAGATTCACGTCAGCAGCTTTGTGTCTTTTAATCTGCTACAAATTCTCTTAGTGAGGCTTGAGGAATATTCCCAACATGCTGACAGGTGAGGCTGCCATTGATTTAAGTATTCTTTCCCTCTTAGTCACTTGTTCTCAGTGATTTATGAAAGCTTTCCCAAAATTGTAATGGCTGGATTTCAAGCTTTTCCCGCCTTGCTGTTTGTTCCCACACATTCACAGTCAGGTTGGACGGGGCTCTGAGCAACCTGATCTAGTTGCAGATGTCCCTGCCCACGGCAGGGGGGTTGGACTAGATGGCCTTTAGAGGTCCCTTCCAACCCAAGCTATTCTGTGATTCTGTGATATACACGATATATAATATGTGTATATACTGTATACACGTATACTGCATACTCTGTGTCTGTACGTGTATAAATAGCTGAGCTGCGTGTTGCGTTCATCTGTGTGATGCAGAAGGTCTCATCAGGTAATGGCTGTATCATTCCCACTGCTGTTAGTAATATATGAGTTGCCCAAAGCTCTTACTTTATCGTACACTTCTATAAAGCCACATAATATGTATTCCATGCTTCAAAACGTCAGTGATCTGCCAGCTGAGTTAGCAGAATGATGTGGTGTTTCATTATCTGGATTGCCCATCCTCATAAGAATGGGTCACACTGGCAGGTGCCTAGGGAAGAATATCATAACAGAGCCAGCATTAGCAGTACTTCTCAAAGATGCTCTAACAGTCTGGTGTGATTTATGTTCAAGGGGCTTTGAATTCATCTTTGGATTTGTGGTTTGTTTTTTGTTTTTTGTTTTTTTTTTTTTCTTTCATGAATTTGTTCACTTGCTTTGTGAAGTGTGAACGTATGGTGTTCGCAGCACCACAGGGCAGAGTTCCACAGTTTAACTGCTCAAGGCTGTGACTCTTCACACAAAGTATTCTGTGTCTTTTTGTTTTGTTTCTTTAAAATCTGTTACCAGTTATTTTATATGATGCCTCCCCAGATTATTTTTGGAAGAGTCTGCAAATAACATTACCTTTTCACCTGCTTCAGGCTGCTTAGGATTGTATAGACTTTCACCTCTTCCCCTTCAGTCATGGCTCATCCCTCCCACTGTAGCGAAGAGTCCTAATTTATTCAGCTGTTTATTGTAGAAAACACTTTCTGTATCTTCCACTATGCTTAGTACTCTTCTCTGTAACTCTTCTAGTTTTCCTGTGCCCTTTCATAAATGTATGGCAAACTGGGGAACACATGATGCCCAGAAGTTTGTATTCAGAAGGTGAAGAGCGAGACATGCGTCATGGTTACTTGGGGAAACAGTCTGTCAGCTAATGTCAAGATGTATTCTGATTCCTTAGACTTGTTTCTGACCATTTCCACAGCAGCCAGCACAGGGATATCCTGGTGTTTTTCATACCAATGACTGAGAAACAGCTAGGCTGCTTTAGCTCTCCTAAAAGGTGTAGATAGCCATTTCTTAGTGGTGTGTTACCCCTTGATATTCTGTTCAGAAAACTTTATTAACGGTATCTTCATGCTTAGCGTTTTTAATTTTTAGAGAAATAATACTCATCTCTCTCGCTTTGTTTTTATCTTTCAGAAAATCACCAACCGTGTTTTAGGGAGGAAGGTGCCTTGGAACTGATAAAGATCTCCTGTTCACATGAAGGTGTATTGCGCTTAGTAAACTTGCGGCGTAAAGGAGATTGTGACGTGAAGACAATAATGCAGTAAATACTCGTGCAGTGTATGTTTTGTGGTATTCACTTGTGTCATTTTTGTACTCATATAATCTTGCCGTATTTAAGAATCAATGATTTGATACGAATGACAGGTTTTTAAATAAATGGCTGTTTTTTGTAGTGGTGTTATGCACTGCCAAAGTAAACATAGTTTGGAAGTACTTGGTTCATAAATATATTTATAACTACCTGATTGGAATAGCACATTTATATATTTATTTTAAATTGTTTTTAACAATGATTTTTAAAATTTTTTTATTTCCTATCTCAGTGTAGAAAACTGACTTGTAATGTTTTGGACTGCAAAACCCCCTTAAATAAACAACATCAGACCAGTTTGTAGTAACTATTGCAGCAGTCATTAAATGTATCTTCGCTGTCTGTATGGACAACATCCAAAGAAACCGGGCCATAATGACCTCTTACTCTACCCAACACAGAACTTAAGAATTTACAGGGTAACTGTAATGGCTGTTTAAAGTGGATGTTATTAGCACTGAAAGAGTGAAGGAGTCGTGACTTCACTGACCTTTTGCTTGGTTTGCGATCTTTCTGTATGAACCAGGAGAGTCTAATCAGAGATATTTTTTATGATGTTGAGAATTTTTAAGCCTTGCCTGCGAGAGTCCCCTTTGCTTCATTAGATGTTTGCATTCTGACAGGACACTTGGTTGTACAGTTATCTAGCATCACGGGCAAAAGATGAAATATAAAGATTGTGGTTCTCGGTGATAGAAGCCTGAAGTCTTAGTTTCATTTGCTTATTACAATAGAGTTCATGAGATATATAAACAGGAAAAGACATCTGAGGAAAACTGAGTGGGTGCGAACAGTGGTTTCCTATTTTCTGTACTTAAGATGTTCATAGCAATTTAGTTCAAGGAACAGCTGTAGCGTTACACCCAATTCTGTGGAGGGCAAGGCACAACTCGGAGGCCTTGACCTCTTGTGTTCACCAAGAATTTCATAAAACTTGTTTCACCCCTTGGCTAAGCCATCCAGCGGTGACTACAGTCCAGCTCTGCCAGTTACCCCTGGTGTTCACATTGGGATGTAATGAATCAAATCTTCAAATGATGGGAAATAATGTGATTCCCTTGAAGGTCAGTAGAACTACGCTAAATTACGCTAGACAAAGATTTGGCATAGTATTTTTCAAACTGTGTCCTGTGCTGGTGGTAACACATGCTGTTAAAGCAGCTGTTATATCCTACCCCAGAGTCAGGAGGAAATAAAGTGTAAGAATATATCCGGGCGTAAGATTTATAATTTATCTGGATGTACTCTTCTTATCAGAATAGCACGCAGAAAAACCAACCACCACAAAACCATGACCTATTATGTCGGAAGGCCGTATCTGGTCTGGTCTCAGAAGTCTGAAGCTAAAAGTGCAGGTTAAAAATAATACAGTATCACATGGCTGCGATAAGCCATTCTCTGAGCTGATTTATCTCTTTAGAATTTTCCACTTTTCAAAATCTGTTTTTACCTATTTGCTCCTTCCACTGTCTTGTCCTTGGGATCAGTTTGGATGCAAGTTGCTGCTTTGACTTTGGAAGTGCTCTTCTGGGGCTAGAAAGCAGCTTTGTGTGTTGCTGAAGCAGAAGGTGCTAAAACTTGCTGGTACTGAGATTTCTCATGCGATTCTCTGATATACATATGAATAGACTTTTTCCTTGCGACAAGAAATTCAGTTGTGTTGGAGTCATGACAAGATCTTGCCTCACTGAGTGCTCATTTAAAGCTGGTTAGCTGCTTAAATATGCTTTTAAGCTTTCAACTGACTAAAAACCAAGAGCTTAAGGGCCCTGCTGATGCCTCGGGGGATGCTTGGAAGACTTCTTACAATCAGATAACGCAGCTGATGGCTGTTTTTATTTAAATGTCCGTAGTGTGCCTGTGTGTTGCTCCCTAACAAAAGCATAGAGGCCAATAATCAAGCGCATTGCAAATCGAAGAAAGGTAGAGGCAGTCCATTTCAGCTGGTTGGAGTACCCATCCTCCTCTAAGTAGAGAACTATACATTGTAAAGCCTTTCAAAACAAAGAGCTGCTGCAAATTTTTTAATGTCTTACCTTGCTTAAAAATGTTCACTAGCTACCAGAGTTGTCTAACAGTCGCTGTCATTCTGTGAGTTAGAGTTGCAGCTTGAGAACTTTCGGGACGAGTAGCTGTAATTCCTCATTTGGTAATAATACTGCAGGGTATTTCCTTTGCTAGGGGAGAAGTGTTTGCTTCCGTTTAAAAATCTTCTGTTCAGGCATGCTTTAGTCTATCAGAATGTGTGATCTGAAGACCGTGCTTGGATGTTTTATGCTGGTCTTGGGCCGCACAAAGAGTTTACACTCTGAAGTAGTGTAAAGTGAACATTCTTTCCGCACGCAGGGGGGGAAAAAAGAAAGTTTTGTAGAGGAACAGTGTGAGATTGATTGACTTTTCTCCCCAGTGGGGTAAGCACCTGCAATTCCAGATGAAATCGGGAGGAGCTGCAACTTCTCAGAACTTCTGAAAATTAGGTCCTGCGTGGCCAGGTTTAAAGGAGGCAGGTCTCCTCCTCAGCCCTGTACTCCCAACAGCGTTATCATCCGTCCTTCTCTTGATTTCTTCATGAGGGATGCTAGTGAAGCTGACTCACACCCATTCCACTACCATTCCTTGTTGTCATCAGGTCAGATAAAACTTGTGCTGGGTGCAAAGCATCCGTGTTTATATTCTATGAAAGGAGGCTGTTGACATTTGGAGTCATTGGTTCCAACACGCAAAACTTCTTTCCAAAAACTCAGGAAATTATGCTTGTCTTGTGTTGATTCCAGAGTGGAGTCATCTCTTCTTAATCCACTGCTACACAAAGACTTTTAGGGTAAGTTCTGCAGTTCTTTGGAAGTTTAAAGAGGGCAGAATTTTTTTTTTTCTTTTGTTATTAGTTGATCAGAAATGTTCTTTGACCAGCATTTGCCATCCCGACCCTGCACAATGATTACTGTGTAGATGCCAAATGCACGTTTGAGTCTCACCGAAAGGCCAGCTGTCGTAGCTGCTATCTCAAAAACCGGGAAAGGGCAGCACGGTTGTCTGTTGAGCTGTCGCTAGAAACTGAAAGCAGCTTTGATCATTGTTCGTTTGTACCTTGTTCATCATCAGGTAAATACAATGACTGGTCTTTGGCTTTGGATTGCCTCTAGATGTGCTGTCTACAAACTGAACAAACGAACTGACGTGTGGGTGAGGTGGACGAGGCAAGGAAACGCAGAGAAAAGGGGTGTAAAAAGCCACCTTATGCTTTGAAAGGTTCCTTATTTTAAAATAAGCGGCTTGTTTGCCCTCCAGAAGTACCTTCCATTTCCTCTTTCATGACCATTTCCCCTAGTTCTGCCTTTTGTGCTGTAAATTCCATCCTGATGGACCTTTCATAATAACATGGTAAATCCTCTGGTTCTTGGTGGATGTTTTTGGACTCCTTTCTCTGGAGAACCGTTCTCAGGTTAGAGGTCTGCCACATCAGGCAGTGATGGGGCTTGAGTGGATGTTGTTTGGGACACGTTCTCTCATCCCTGGTAACTGGAAAGATCGCCGTGGAAACCAATTGCAAGGATGATGTAAAAATAGAGTTGAAGTGCACAACTTCCTTGGAAAAGGAAATTCCCCGCAGAATATAGTCGTGTTACTGTACATCTGTCTAGATATGGCCCGGTCCAGAGCGGTTTGGCTCTTGGAGGGCTGCTTTCCAGAAGGGCTTCTTCTGTCTGCCTCTGTCGGTGATAAATTTGCTAGTGGTTGTGCCTGTAGGAGAATGCAGCTGAACGACGTTGAAGAGGAGGAGACTGAAAAGGAGATTTGCCCCGTGCAAAAGCAGGTAAGCTAATCGCTTCCGCTTATCCACGAGAGCATCCTGGTTTATAATTCACTTTTCCTGAAACAATACCCTAATGAAGAAATTGCTTCCTGGCTGGCTGTTCATTAGCCCAGATCAAACTTTAATCCAATAAAGAAGATCTTAATGTATCGCTTCCTTTATGCTGCATATATTAGTTAGCCGGCTGGGCGGCTGTACCTCTGTAAAGCTTAAAAGTGTAACATGAAGTCATTGGACATGCTTGTCGTAGGCCTGGGGAAGGAATTCGGCTGAACTGCTGTAAATGGAAAAGACGCGATTCTTTCACACAAGCAAGGTTTGAAAGTCAAACTTTTATTAATATTTTTCTCCCTACATCAGCAGATAAACTGAATTCTCCAGGCCAAATTAGACCCTGCGGGGGGTTGAATGACCTCTGCATGACAAATGAAAGCCATGTTGATTAATACACTTCTGGAAGGCACTCAAATTCCATGGTGATGAGGACAGTTGTAAGAGGTCTTGATAGGGAAGAAGGGAGGTTGGTGTGGTTTTCTTTTTTTTTAATACAATCTAATTTTATTCATGTACCAATGTGCTGCAGCCTTGTTGCTTTCTAGCTTTATCAGAAGCTACTTCAAACTTGTCTTCGTGATACAAAACAAAGGAGAGACGCCAGCTCACTTTCCCAAAGTTGTGTTGGCTCCCCTACCCGCGTTTGATTCGGTACGTCCCATGCATCACTCTGCCGTAGGGGGCTTGCTGCTGGCCTCTGCCAAGTCTCGTTGAGTCATCTGCTGAGTAGCCAGCCCTGACCTTCCCCTGGAGAGGGGTAAGTCTCTTCAACTCTGAGACTTGCCAGTTGGATCTGGAAGATGCAGCGTGCCAGCTACGTGCTGTGGCCTCCTGGACGCCTGTGCACAAGGAGTTGAGTTCCTGTGGCACTGTGTGCACATTGAATAGTCATTTTAATGGGAGATTATGTGAAATTGGGTCTGAGGAGACCTTTTTTTGGTCTGCCAAGGCACAGGTTTTTATGAATGGCGAAGAGCTGTTTTACTACATTACAACTCTCCTTGTCCTTTGCAGAAGGACCCGTAACAGGCTAAGACCATTTGTGCTGATGAAGCAGTGGTGGAAGACCCAAAGTGTGGGTGCCTGGGATCTTCCTGAGCACACCTCCTATGCTCGGGTACTCGACGTGCTGGCTGCCTCCTCCATCACTATGAAGAACGAGTGCCTGGGAGGACAGGAGCACGCTGGAAATGGATACCAAGGGGCTCTCCCTGTCTTTTTAATTCCATGGTTGTGAGTGATCCCCCGCCCCTGCTTCACACGTGCTGCTCTTGGCTTACGCCAGGACGCAGAAATCCCGGATCTCGGGCTCAGCTGCCAGGCTGTGTGACCCAGCTGCAGACCATGGTCGGGTGCCACAGCTTCTGTAGGCTTTTGTCAGCAGAGATATCAAGTGATCAAGGCTGTAGGCAGGGGGAAGAACGCCTGTTC